TTGTGAGGGCAAATTTCCGAGCTGGGTAGACTCGCGCAGTCCATGCGACCACGGCCCCTGCGACCAACGGTAGTCGGCGCCCGCCCGCTCTGGGGGCTGCTGCGCGAGAGGCGCGCCAATCGACCGAACAGAAGTCGCCAACAATACTGCCGGAGACCGCGACGGGGTGAAAGCCTGCGCTGGCAGCGCTTTCGCAGGCGTGGACTCCACGGGCGTGGCCTTCATAGGAGTGGCATGCAAGGCTGACTTGGGTTCTGGGTCAGCGCTCGTGCTGGCGGTCTCGAGCACTCGCCGAACCTTCGTTGGCGGCGTGCCTGTCACCGCCTTCCCAACCATATCTGAAGGGGCGTCTCTGGGAAACCCGCCCGAAGCAGGGGCTTGCAAGTACGTTACCAAACACTCCCTCCTGGCATCATCGTTCGCTCCTTTACTTAGCTCATCGTATCTGAAGCGTATCAGGCCACCAGTTTGCCAGCTGGCGGTGGTAAGCTGTAAACGCACCTTGGACCAGAGCGCCCCCTTCGTCGCTCATTCGGACCATACGTAACCCTGCCAAACTGATCTCGAAACCGCCCTCGACCATAACAGTCTTCAGCTGCAAGCGCGGGAGCGGCAACGCGGCGATAGCACACTTGGGAGGCATCTCGTTGGAAGGAAATCTGCGCCACACCAGCGCAGAGACCCCGGCGGCGCGGCGCGGAAGCGCAAACGTGTCGTGCGTTCAACTCGAGCCAAAGTGTTTACAGTCCTGCTGTGGAGGAAATGTTGCTGCGGTCGCGTTCTGCGCCATGGCCCGCATAGACGCCGCATTCGAGGACCACCCCCTGCGCACCCCCTGTGGTGTCGAGAATACGAATACGCCGCGCCTGCAATGCCCTGCGCCATGGCCCGCATTAGCGCACCGCTCGGGGACCATTCCCTGCGCACCCCTGGTGGTGTCGAGAATATGCTGTGCCTGCCACGCCCTGCGCCATGGCCCGCATAGACGCCGCGCTCGGAGACCACCCCGCGCGCACCCCCTACGAGGTCGAGAAAGTGCCACACCTGCCACGCCCTGCGCCATGGCCCGCATAGACGCCGCGATCGGAGACCACCCCGTGCGCACCCCCTACGAGATCGAGAAAGTGCCACACCTGCCACGCCCTGCGCCATGGCCCGCATAGACGCCGCGCTCGGAGACCACCCCCTGCGCACCCCCCTGCGAGGTCGAGAAAGTGCCACACCTGCCACGCCCTGCGCCATGGCCCGCATAGACGCCGCGCTCGGAGACCACCCCCTGCGCACCCCCTACGAGATCGAGAAAGTGCCACACCTGCCACGCCCTGCGCCATGGCCCGCATAGACGCCGCGCTCGGAGACCCCACCTCAGTCCTCCAGCCGCGCTGCGAGCGCGCGTCGCAGCCCTCGCTGAGCTGTATGCTGTGCTGAGCTGTGCTGTGCTGTGCTCTGTGAGTTGTGATGTGAGCGTGTGCGTTGTGTGTATGTGTGATCTTGTGGTTTGCTGTGCTGCGCTGCGCTGTGCTGTGCTGCGCTGTGCTGTGCTGTGCTGCGCTGTGCTGTGATGTGCAGCTGTGTGCTGTGCTGAGCTTTGCTAGGCTGTGCTGTGCTGTGCTGTGCTGCGCTGCGCTGCGTTATGCTGTGCTGCTTGAGAAGGAGAGGGGACAGGGAGGGAGGCGAGGTGAGAGCCGCGGGTGCGACGCGCGTGGGTGAGGAGAGGAGAAGAGGGAAGAGGGGAAGATGGAGGTGAGTGAGTGAGTGAGCGTCGCGGGTGGGACGCGGCAGGGAAGAAAACCAGAACCCCACGAAACATGTGGGGAAAAACTTGAAACTCACCCCTCTCCATCCGCGTCATTGCAAATATCGAGCGAGCTTCAGGACCATACGCGGTAAGGGAATCTCCAGCGAAACGCCCGGCCCATCCCATATCGACACGCCTGCAGGCGCGACTTTTTGATCGGCGGCAGTCGTCGGGGGACTGACATCGACACACGTACGTATAAAAACTCCGAGGTCCGCGCGGACTCCTTGGACTGGCGCTGGACGCCCCTCCACGGCGCGCGGAGCGCGCCAGGGGGGGACCCAGCGCCGACATCCGCGGAACCGCGCGGACCTCCGAGCTGCTATGCTCACGTCGTCGCTTGTTCCCCTGAAGCGGCGTACCCGTCGCCCACCCAGAGATCCGATGTTGTGTTTTTTTCAAGACGGGGCCCCCGGAAGTCTCTAGGGCTCCCAACTTCGCGCTTCGCGCTTCGCGCTCCGCGAAGCGCGAAGCGCGAATAACTTCGCGCCCTCGCGCCGCCCCCCCAAAGGGAGAATAGGAGGACGAGGAGGAGAAGGAGAAGGAACGAGGACCGCGAAGCGCGAAGCGCGAATAACTTCGCGCCCTCGAGGGAGCCCTTGAAGTCTCGACCCATTCCCCAGGACCGGTCTTTCATCCCGAGTCGTTTCTTGACAGTCCCAGGGCCCAGCGAGGGCCGCTAGGGGCCGGAAATCTAGAAAAACCTCCGTCTTGATTTTTTCCATACGCTGGATCTCTGGGCAGGTCGCCGCACGCTGGAGCAGCACTTTCTGCCTCGCCGCCGACGTGCAACGCGAAGAAGTTCCCCGGAAGCAGGGTTCCGCAGGCGGTCCGGCCCACGGAGGGGGTGCGACGGAAGCGGGGCACAGGCGCAGGAGCGGGAGGGCTAGATCGATGGGGAGGGGGGCCGGGGGGGAGGGTTAGGCTGGGCATGTCCTCCTACAGGCGGATGTTGGAAGACAACTTGAAAATAGGCAAGAATTAGGTAAATATATTCAAACATGATAGAACAATTTGAAGGGGCCCCAGGACACACAAATAGATGCACACAAATAGAAGGATTCCCCATATTTTCCCATATTTTCTGGGTGTCTGTCTTCCCCCCCACTTCCCATATTTTCCTGGGGGTCGACGATTAATTGTGTCTGTGTGTTTGTTTCCCTCCTGAGTTGGGCTGGGCATGTCCTCCTACAGGCGGATTTTGGGAGAAACCCTGAAGATAGGCAAGAATAGGTAAAAAGATTCAAACATGATAGAACAATTGTCCGCAAACTAATGTTTGAATCTCTCCCTTTAGAGGGACATGCCCGACTGAAGGGAAGGCCGCGGTGCGGCCAGAGCATCCCCAGAGCCCGAAGCACTTCGGGGCGCGCCGGAGACAGGCTCAAAAGCACTCGCCGCTGTCAGCGCGCGCGCAGGTGTATCGCCAACCTTTGCCTTCGTCGTCGTCATCGTCATCGTCATCGTCGTCGTCGTCGTCGTCGTCGTCGCCAGTCCCAAGGAAGTTAGGCAACAGTGAAAATAAACGTCGTTGTCAAGCCGATCCCCTCCACTGTTTCCCCTCCTTCGACGGGGGGGGTGGGGGGCGGGGGAGGGGTGGGCGGGGGGGTGGACGGGGGGAGCGGGGCTGGGCGTGGGGGGGCCGGGTCCGAATGCCGCCCCCCTCGGGTCCCGGACGGATCCGGGGGGGGGTCCGTGGTTGGGTCGCCAGCGGGGGTCCCGGGGGAGGTCCCGCCTTCAGGGTCGGCGGCACCGGCCGTGAGGCCTTCGCAGTCACTCCTGCAAAGGTCGAATGAGATCCAACGGGAAAGACCACGCGCATCGCCAGGGCAAAATCCAGGGAGCAAAACCATGATTAGCGACGAGAGAAACCACGCAGAAAGTAGGAGCTCGACCACAAGAAACCTTCCACAAGAAAACCCTTCGACCCCAGGGCATCCCTTGGTTTTTGGTGTGGAAGCGTCGCGCTTTGCATGGCAAAACCATCGAAACCCAAGAAACCGAGGGCACCCTGGAGGAAAGCAGGGTGTTTCTTGGCATGGTTTCCCACTGTAGAGAAACTGTCCTCGGAAGCACGCTGTGCGGGGCCAGGGTCAGAGCAGTCTGCTGAACTTGTCCAAGGCACTCGGGAGGCAGGGGGCCAGCCTGGGGGCGCGACAGGCAGGAGTCCACACGGGAAAGGGATGGAAGGAGGAGGAGGAGGAGGAGGAGGAGGAGGAGGAGGACATGGAGGATCGAGGGCAGGGGGCAGGGGTCATGGCGGAGGAGGGGAGGGAGGGGGGAGGGCGACCCAGACCCACGACGTCGTGTCTTGTTGCGTGACGTGGACCCCCGAGAGAATCCCCGGGGATCTACTTCCAAGACCCGGGTCAAGCAGGCCTTGCAAGATCCTTCCTGCAGGCAGGGCCCTGCGCCCGAAGCCCGGGTCAGTGCGCCCCTGGCTCTGCAGGACCCTGCAAAGCCCGCCGCTCTGGCTGACCCCCGCTTGCCGGGACCCCCGCCCCGAGGCTCCCGCAACTTGACCCCTCCCTGAGGACCGGCTCGGACTCGGACTCGGACTCGGCTCCGCGCGTGTGGCGCCATGAAGGCGCGGCGGAGTGGGCGCCGAGGCGCCTGCATTGGAAGACATCGGCAAACAAATCTGCATGTGAAAATTATGCATGGGAGGCGTCAAAGGAGGAAGAGGAGGAGGAGGAGGAGGAGGAGGAGGAGGAGGAGGAGGAGGAGGAAGGCATGTCCCAAATCGTCTCCGGCGGTCCTGGTGCCCAGCGAGGGCCGCCGGGGGCCGAACACGTCCAGAGACCTTCCGTCGTGCTCTCGCCACGACGGGCAGAGGCCGACGACGACGACGACGACAACGACGACGACGACGACGACGACGACGACGAAGACGACGCCGAAGACGACGACGAAGACGCCGACGCCAACGCCGACGCCGACGACGCCGACGCCGACGACGACGAGGACGACGACGCCGACGACGACGACGAGGACGACGACGCCGACGACGACGACGAGGACGACGACGCCGACGACGACGACGACGAGGACGACGACGCCGACGACGACGACGACGAGGACGACGACGCCGACGACGACGACGACGACGAGGACGACGACGACGAGGCACGAGGACGACGAGGACGACGACGACGAGGCACGAGGACGAAGACGACGACGACGACGAGGCACGAGGCTATGATTTGTTCAATGCACGGCCCCAGGGCCGATCTTGTCATCGCGCGAAGCAGGACGAGAATATTGAGAGGTCGCGCGGGGCGCGGGTGACGACTGCTCGGAAGACCCCCCAAAGCAGCACAGGCATGAGCCCTCGGAAATTCCCACGGACTGCCTGGATCGGCGCCGAACCCCCTGCTAAGGGAAGGCGACATGGCCGAACCGGCTCAGGGGGAAACATCTACATGGAATCGGCGATGCATCGCCCATACAGATCGGTGACCAGCTCTTGACAGCAAAACCGCACGTCCCTGGGCGGGCTAGGCTGTCGGCCTCCTTCGAGTAGGGGATCGACTGCAGAATCGATGTACCCCAAAATTGATCTCCCGTCGAATCCACGAAGCATACCTGCGATGCTCCGTAGATCGGCTGACCATGCTTCGCACTTTTCTCATGGAGTCGACAAGAGAAGGGGGTACATCAATCCTGCAGTCGACCCCCTACTCAACCCCCTGTCGCCTGTCGGCGATGGGCGGGCGATTGGGGGTCGATGCGCTCCCCCCATTGACCTAATTTTAAGTCGGGCCTGTCCCCCTACAGGGGGATTTTCGACGAAAAAAAAAAAAAAATACCCCCAAAATGGTCCAAAAATAATCCAAAAATAGTCTGGGGACTATTTTGGGGGTATTTTGTTGACCCTTCTGGGGTATTTTTGGGCTATCTTCTGATTTTCGTCGAAAAGCCCCCTGTAGGGGCACAGGCCCGACTTAAAAACCTCATCATCCCCCCCCCCCCATCGCTGCCCCGGAGCCCCCGCCGCACTCTGCGCGCCGAGGGCCCAGAGACGCGCCTGCCGCTTCGGGGGGGCTCCCGGATACGGAAGCGGCACCCCGCTGCTGCGGATGCCGCGGCTTAGACTACTGAGCGCGCGCCCGTCGACTGCCGACGTGCCGAGCACGGGGGGACAAAAGGGTTCCGAAACGGCTGCTCCCCGGGGTGCGTCCTGACCAGTATTCCCAGGAGAGTCCAGCCGTGGCGACGAGGATTCTCCCGGACGAGGAGCAGTATCGGTACCTCTCCTCCTCTGAGAGCACGTGCTAAACGATCCAAAGCACGCTCACGCGTCTATGCCCATCTCCGCCATGGCGGTTGGCCGGAAGAACGCCACGCGCTGCATCACTGCATCCTTCCTCGGGTCGTACGGGCAATCCTTGGAAGGGATCTCCAAAATCGCAGGGATGACCTGCCCGCTCTTGCTGTACTCGTCGATTGCGTAGCGGATGTGCTCTGCGCAGCCCTGGGTAATGTAGATCATTGAGATGTCTTTCCGCTCAGTTAGCTCGCGAAACTTCTCGTCGATGTCTTTCTGGTGGGTCCTAGAGTCCACCACGAGGAAATTCTTCTTACCCTGGCCATCCACGTGACCGATGCCTGCCAAGACCATGCCGGCTACGGTGTCCTCGTCGCCAATAAGGCCGATCTTCAAGTCGTTTTGGCTAAAGAATTTCTTCTTGCCCATGGTGGCTACACAGCAATGGCAAGCTGCGGTGACTGGTCAATTGATGAGAATGCCGCCTGACGCACCCTTGAGCCAAAATGGCCTGATGCAAGTCGGTCACGTGGTGGCTTGCGGACCGCTTTGGACGAACTCGTTTCGAACGAAGCTCGGACGGGGTCTGGACGGACAAGCCAAATGGTTGCACTCACTCGTTCACCAAGTGTTGTAGGACTCAGCCGGGAGGATGCACGGGAAAGGGAGACATCGAAATGTATGGGACATTTCTGAGGGCGAGAGCGAAAACACAGAATGGGCCGTTCCGCACCTGGTAGGGCGATCCTCATTGCGCCCCTGACCAAATCCGCCTCTGGGCCCTTCGAAAAAGGCACCTGTTCTGCCTTTCAGAAGGCCGCCCCCCGTCGCGCCACCTCCTTGGGGACAGTCGAACTGGGACGAATCGGGAATCTATGAGATCTGGCGGTTTTCGAAGTTGCATCGGGCGCCGCGGCCGTCCCAAAGCACCCTGGAACGCCCTGAAGCGTCCAAAATGCTCTGGAACGGCTGATCCTCGTCCTACTCCCGACCGATCATCTGCCCCAGACCTCCTCTCGCGGCGCAAAACATCACGGACGGCTTCTGTCAATTTCCGTCCCCTGGGGGCACTGACCGGGCTCCAGCTGGGACCGTCGAACTGCTACTCGGAATGCGAAAAATATGTCCCATGATTGGGTCCAGATCTCCTGAGGTCCTGCGACAAAAATCACGTGATCGGAGTTCTGGGCATAGTTCCTTCACGGACTCAATCCTGGGAGCTCTTCGAAGTACCGCTCAGGCAGGGCCTCCTCCCCATTCTCGCCCCCATTCCGAGAATCCTCAGGGCGCGTACGTGCTGGCGCCAACAGGTGCTTGCCCACAGAAGTCCTTCAACTAGGGCTCCCAACTTCGCGCTTCGCGCTGCGCGAAGCGCGAAGCGCGAATAACTTCGCGCTCTCGCGCCGCCCTCCCAAAAGGAGAATAGGAGGACGAGGAGGAGGGGGAGAAGGAACGAGGACCGCGAAGCGCGAATAACTTCGCGCCCTCGAGGGAGCCCTTGCTTCAATACTACGCAGGCTCAAGAGCGGCGAACACATCCGCATCCGCGCCCTCCCACGGCCCGGGGCCGAGAGCTCCCGAACGCCGCCCGTCGTGATCCCACCACGAAGGGAGGTCCCAGGGGAGCCCAGAATCGGATCGACAAATCGGATCGGCGATCGAAATGAATCGGATCGGCGGACATCGGCAGCCGAGCCGGGAAAAGTCGAATCAGCGGAAATCGGCTGGCTAGAATGCCTCCACTGAGCAATCGGAACCCGAATCGGAGTCCCAAGCCGAATCGAATCGGAATCGGAATCCATCGAAGCCGAATCGAATCGAATCGAAGGAGTCGAAACGAGCCCTGCGAGAGGAGAGCTGGCACACGTCGGGTCTCTGGCGGCCGGCAGGCCGGGCAGTTCGCAGAAACCTGCGCACAACAGCCTCGAACCTCGAGGGAGCGTGGGCAGGTAGAAGCCCCCAGGCAACACCCAGACATTCGACGTCTTGCTTTCCTCAATGTCAGCGTTTTCTTATTCGGCGTTACGGCATTGGGCGGAAGGGGGGTGGAAAGGGGGGGTCTGGCTCCGGCCCTGTGCTCAGCGCGACTGGTTGCACCAGTGTCCCACGTGGAAGACCCCACCTGCCTGCAACAGGCGCCAAACCAGCCGAGATCTACTCCATGGGAGGGGGGGGTAAGGAGGGGTGCGAGGGTCCGCGCCGGTCGGCAAAACAATGAGTCAGGAAACAATCACCAATGCGGGACACCCGAAGTCCCGACCCCTTCCAGAGGGCTGGCGCCTCATCCCGAGCCGTCATGTTGGCGATCCCAAGGCCCGGGGGAAGGCCCCCAGAGCACGAAAAGCTGCAAAGATCCGTATTGGATGTTTCGATTTGTTGGATGTCTCGGCACGCGTCCGGGGGATCATCCACCGCGATCTCTGACTTCGGATCCAACGCACTTTGACTGAATTTCCGACGACGGAAAAAAGTGCGGAAACTTCCGCCTCAAGGATGTAGAGCGGACATCTCCGCCAAACTGCGGCGGACCAGCGGTTAATCGACGTCAAAGGAGCTTGAGAAGTAGGGCGGAAACTTCCGTCATACCTGCAAAGTCGCCAAAAGTAGGGCAGATCTGGAGTCAGGGATCCCTTGGAGGCGGCCCGGTGGTCTGCACTGGATGGGTCCCCAGAAAAGCGATCAAGAGTGAGGGGGGAGGGGGGGGGGGCGAGGCCAAATCCACCCACAATCGATCCCAGGACCCCTGTCGGGGTCCATCTGGCGCAGCTTCTCACTCGGGATCTAATCTGACAGTCCAGGGTCCAGAAAACGGCCACCAGAGACCGAAAAAGGCAACAAAGAAAAAATATGAAAAGCACATTCTCGAGCGAGTTTCTGAAACCTCGGACCCCCGTCCCCCCTTCTGCTCGAGAGAACCAGTGCTTGAGCAGGGACAGACCGTCCCGGCATTCCTGTAGGCCACCACGAAAGGTTCTTGAAACCCAAACATGCTCTATTTACCAAAAACCATATTCTTAGAACATAAGCCCGATGTTCTGAAACAAGACAGTGTCAGCCAGAAATATGCTAAGAAAATGCGTGCAGACTGCGAAAGGTTATTGGAGCATTATTCGGTGGCTCTAATAGGCAAGCCACGGCGCTTCACCAATGCTCGAGTGCTGGGCCACCTCAGCGACCCCCAGCACGGCGACAATAGAAGAGAAACGACTGCATAAACATGAACTTTCCATGCTCCGCCCGAATTCCCTGGATCTGCGCTGGACCCCCCCCCTTCCTGGCGCGCGGAGCGCGCCAGGGGCGGCGCCAGAGGCGCCGCCGGGGGGGCCCGGCGCGGACCCGAGAGATCCGCGCGGAGCGCCCAAAGCTTATTGAAGGGGCCCTGGGACACACAAATAAATTACCCTGTGACGTACCCAACCAATTTGTATCAATGGAAATGAGGAATTGGCCGAAACTTGTATGGACAATCAACTTGATGTGTAAGCTACTTGGGAGGCGTCACTGTGCTGGGCCCCTCAGCAGCCCTTGAAAGTGGCGACAGTTTCACAGATCGCAGCCCCCCAGGGATGGCGAGGTCCCATTTGAGTCCGCGGTGAGTACCCACTGTGCTGGGCCCCTCAGCAGCCCTCGAAAGTGGCGACAGTTTCACAGATCGCAGCCCCCCAGGGATGGCGAGGTCCCATTTGAGTCCGCGGTGAGTACCCACTGTGCTGGGCCCCCCAGCAGGCCTCGAAAGTGGCGACAGTTTCACAGATCGCAGCCCCCCAGGGATGGCGAGGTCCCATTTGAGTCTGCGGTGAGTACCCACTGTGCTGGGCCTCGAAAGTGGCGACAGTTTCACAGAACGCCACACAAATAACAGGATTCCCCATATTTTCCCACATGTTCTGGGCTTTTGTCTTCCCCCCCACTTCCCAGATTTTCCCATATTTTTGGGGGAATGGACGATGAATTGTGTCTGTGTGTTTTTTCCCTCCTGACTTATGTTCATGGCGTTTCCTCTCCTTCGCTCCAGAGGGCCCCCTCGCCGCGGGCGGGGCGGCGGAGCGGACGTCGGCCTCCGCAGCGCGGGCCCCGCCGCCGCAGCCGGGCGCCCCGCCGCCAGGGCCGACGGCCGGCTACTTCGTGGTCCCCTCGCCGCCCTCGCCGCCCTCGCCGCCGCCAGCCTCGCCTGGGGAAGCCATACGGCATGACCGACGCCTGGCGGCCAGCCCTCCCTGTGGCAACTCACGGGAGCCTCCTATACACCCGTGCTCGCTCTTGCTAATCGACGCTAGTCGAGGCTGATCGACGCTAAATCGGCGCGATTATATCGATCAGCAGACGCTGAACGACGCTAGTGCACTCCAACGGCGGAATTACGAGGATACACAAGGCTCCCATGATTTGCGAGCGAACCAGCCGGGGGGGAGGTGAGGAGGGGGCGGGCCTTCAGAGAAGGCTCGGAAGTACCCCGCCCTTTTCTGCGAGGTTTTCTCGGCCTTCCCCCAAGACACCGAAAACTTCTCAGTCTCAGAAGGCCTGAGGGCTCCTGAGAAGCCCCGCCGCCTTCTGAGCATGCCTCCTCCTTCTCACTTCCCCCCCTCGCTCGCCGCCGAGATGCCGCTACGGCAGGTCCGTGTCGTGTCGATTTCGGCGTTGGCTTCTGACCCCACAGGGATCGTTCGACCTTCAACGATCGGCCGTTTCCGAAACGTCAGATCGTTCAACATCGACCGATTCTGGGTGACCCGCCGCGTCTTTCAACATCGACCGATTCTGGGTCGCCAGCGGCGTTCAGTGTTGAACGCCAGCGGCGGGGTCGCCGCCGGTCGACACTACACGAGACGACAGTACTTCAAAGTTCTGTCATGTGCGTCCGGACCTTGCATCCCGAGGCGAAGACGGCAGTGACGACGAGGGCCTCCCGAAGTCTCCCAGGAGGTCCAACAACATCGAAAACGATGCCCAGGTCATTACCCTGAGATGAGATCCGACGTGGCGAAAAAATACAGCGCCGTGATAGATCACGACTGAGCCTTGGACTCCATCTTTCTGCTACATTTCTCGGAGCGGATCGATGTGATGGGCTGTAAACCCGAAGCTGAGCGAGAACGCCCGATGCGAAGTAAGTGCGACGCCAGGATCTCAGGATCTGAAACCAAACAAAGGGCGAAAACGGGGCCAGGATAGCTGCATCGGTTCCCCTGACACCCAGCGTCATGGTTTTTTCCAGCCACGGGCCCCCGCACCGACCACTTCCCCGGAACTTTTAATGCCGAGCCGTCTTTTCACGGCCCCGAAGCCCAATACAGGACCCGAAAGGCCAGCTGCTGGTACCTCTTTAGAATAACAAAAACAACATGTAGACATAAACATTTCCGCGCGGATGTTTTGGATCGGCGCTGGACCACACACGCCCAGCGCGCAGAGGGCGCCAGAAGCGGCGC